CAGAGCCACCCCTAACAACTACGCCTACAGAACCACTTTCAACAGATACGAAGCCAGAACCATCCTTTACAACCAAGATTACAAGTCTGGCCTCAGGAAATACGACAACAGAACCACTTTCAACAGATACAAAACCAGAGCCACCTTCAGCAAGTACGACAACAGGACCGGTTTCGACAGGTGCGAAACCAGAGGCACCTTCAAGAACTCCGACTACAGAACCACTTTCGAGGGATACAATACCAGAGCTGCCTTCAGCAACTGCGACTACAGAAACTTAATACCTTGCCGAGTTTAAGAAGTGAATAAGAAATGCTACAGTTTAGAAACTGTGTTATTCAGTAAAGAATTTTACAGATGCTGTTAAATTTTATTTTAACAGTTAACCTTTGGGTTTAGATTGCGAGGAATGGAAAAAATGCTGAGCAGATTTACTAGAACTAAGAAACATTTGTTAACTTCGTTAACTTCATCAACTCCATGACTTCATTCTCCTGACCAAACAAAAAAATGAAAAAGTAAACGAGCTATAAGCAAGAAGAGCTAAGATGTTTTCACACAGTAATCAGAGAGAAAGCTAAAGCATATTCCGAAGCTAAATTCTGACCCAGATAAGGTAATTCTTCTACATTAGTTTCCCTACTATCGGTGCAAGAATTTGGCATAGATGACTCGGCAAAAAGGACTATGAGCTAACGCAATTCTCATCGACTTAATGTGTTCGTGTTTGAATAGAATAAGAATCTTTACTGCGGTTTTTTAGTTACTGCCATCACACTCGTAGTTTCAGTTGTTGATGGTAACTGGGAATCTAGCAACCAGTGGTAATACGAATGCAGAAAATAAGAAGCTATTTAGTTATGCCAGTGAGTGGCGAAAAATGGTCACGCGGAACTTGACCTATTCATTCTTTTCCATACGAATAGAAAAAGCAACACGCAATGTCTAAAAAAAGCTTTATACTAGTTAACAGTAGCAAATGTTGTATGTTATCTGATTATGTTTTACACCTCGATATGATTTGAAGCAGAGTTTTGCGACTACATATCTAACAGAAACTAATTTGAAAAAAAATTTAGTTAAATCAGTTAAATGCCGGTGTGTGGGTTTTTCAACATTCACAGTTCTCTTTGACTTTAAGCAGGTCATGGCAAGTCAGCAAAATGGCAGTGCATGTATTTTCGAACATTCTTAGCTTTTGTTGAAAATAAAAGTTACCTAAAGCATAGCCAAAATCGACA